TTCTCTCCATCTTCAACGCTTCCTTCGAAGCTCCCATCACCACCAACCCCGAATCCAATTCCATCCCACCAAACCGCTCCGTGCGATACCATCCTGTCCATTCCGGCCGCACTTTATTCGAACCCATCTCTGTCGTCCATCATCGTACCCCGCAGCTCTCTTCAGCTCCGTCTTCCTGGCCACCTCTCGCAATGCCTGGCCTGGTCTCAGCAACCGGAGTCCTGGGCTTCCTAGCCGACGAGGAGCATGATCTCAAGGTCTTCGCCCTCCAGACTCTCAATGATGACATCGACACTGTCTGGACCGAGGTCGCTGGTGCCCTGAGCCAAATGTGAGCTCTATTCCTTTCCTCGCCACACCCCGTCTACTCGCCTTGTTTAGATCCAGCTAATCACCTCGATGTAGTGAGGCTCTCTACGAAGACGACTCCTTCCCTCAACGACAGCTCGCTGCCCTCGTTCTCGCCAAGGTCTACTACCACCTCCAGGCCTACAATGAGAGTATGACATTTGCCCTCGCCGCTGGCGACCTCTTTAAGCTCGACGCTCCCGGCGAATTCGAGGATACCATCATTTCAAAGTGCATCGACCAGTACATTGCTGCCTCTTCCGCAAAGCACACTGCTCCCGAGTCACCCCAGAACGATACCTCACTCCCCGCTCTGGCTACTACGTTTGCTAGCGGTGCTGCTGATGGGTCTGCCTTGATCTCCCCTACGACCCCCTTCTCCCAGACGACCCTCCCCTCCAAGTCTCTCCTCTCCCGAGTTTCGACCGACAACACCATTCTCGATCCCACATTCCAACCCGTCAAGGAAGGCCGCTCCGCATCCATCGCCCCAATCAATGATCAGGCGACTCAGATTGCTCTGCAACGTATTATCGAGCGTCTGTTCGAGGCTTGCCTCAAGGATGGCAGATATCGCCAGGTCATTGGTATTGCCGTCGAAGCCAAGAACTTGGAGGTTCTGCGCCGAGTCATCAAGCGCGCCGCCGATGACGAGAAGCATTCAAAGTCCAAGTCGTCGGATGGCCAGGGCCCCGCCGAGGAGCTCATGGAGTATGCATTGGGCATCTGCATGGACGTTGTTCAGGAGCGAAGCTTCCGCACTGAGATTCTGCGTTTGATCCTCGACCTTCTCAACGACATTCCGAACCCAGACTACTTCGCCATCGCCAAGTGTGTTGTTTACCTGAGCTCCAACGAGGAGGCTTCGCGCATGCTGAAGCAGCTCATCACGAGCGGCGACCGGAATTCAATCGCCAGTGCCTACCAGATCGCTTTTGATTTGTACGACAATGGCACTCAGGAGTTTTTGGGCAAGATCATCAGCTCGCTGCCATCAGGAGAGCCTAGCAAGGCTGCCGAGAGCGACGCCACTGAGGAAGAGCCATTGATCGAGAACCAAGAGTCCTCAGAGGAGGAGCTGTCGGAGGAGCTTTCCAAGGTTTACCAGAACATTCGGTCAATTTTGGACGGCAGCAAGACCATTCAGCTGAACCTCGAATTTCTCTACCGCAACAACCGCACCGACCTGAGCATTCTTAACAAGGTCCGTGATAGCTTGGAGGGTCGCAACTCCATCTTCCACACAGCCGTCACCTTCTGCAACGCTTTCATGAACCAGGGCACCACCAACGACAAGTTCTTCCGCGACAACCTCGAATGGCTTGGCAAGGCTGTCAACTGGTCTAAGTTCACCGCGACTGCAGCTTTGGGTGTCATCCACCGCGGCAACCTTACGCAATCCCGCAAGCTCCTCGAGCCCTACCTCCCTCGCCAGAGCGGCTTGAGCAGCGGCTCCATTTTTAGCCAAGGTGGCGCTCTCTACGCCTACGGTCTGATTCACGCCAACCACGGCGCCGACGCTCTTGACTACCTCAAGACCCAGTTCACATCCGCCGAGGAGGAAGTTATCCAGCATGGTGGTGCCTTGGGTCTGGGTATTGCAGGCATGGCAACTGGCTCTGAGGAGATTTTCGACAACCTGCGCACGGTTCTTTTCACCGACTCTGCTCTCAACGGCGAGGCCGTTGGCCTTGCCATGGGTCTCATTATGCTCGGCACTGGCAACGTGCGAGCCTTGGAAGACATGATTACCTACGCCCACGAGACGACACACGAGAAGATTGTTCGTGGTCTCGCTATTGGCATGGCGTTGATCATGTTTGGCCGCCAAGAAGGTGCCGACGCCATGATCGAGGGCCTACTTAACGACCCTGATCCTACCTTAAGATATGGCGGTATTATGACTGTTGCTCTCGCTTACTGCGGTACTGGCAGCAACAAGGCTATTCGCAAGCTGCTTCATACTGCCGTTAGCGACGTCAACGATGATGTACGCCGTGTCGCCGTCATGAGCTTGGGCTTCATTCTCTTCCGTAAGCCTGGCAGCGTCCCTCGCATGGTCGAGTTGCTCTCTGAGTCGTACAACCCTCACGTGCGTTACGGATCTGCCATGGCGCTGGGCATTTCTTGTGCTGGCACCGGCCTGGATGAGGCCATCGACTTGCTCGAGCCTATGATGAAGGATCCCACCGACTTTGTCCGTCAGGGTGCGCTCATCTCTCTGGCCATGATCATGATTCAGCAGAACGAAGTCATGAATCCCAAGGTCGCTTCCATTCGCAAGACTCTGAAGAAGGTTGTCGGCGATCGCCATGAGGACGCCATGACCAAGTTCGGCGCGTCGCTTGCGCTGGGTATTATCGATGCGGGTGGTCGCAACTGCACGATTGGCCTCCAGACCCAGACTGGGAACCTCAACATGGCCGGCATCGTTGGTATGGCCGTCTTCACCCAGTACTGGTACTGGTTCCCGTTCACCCACTTCCTTTCGCTCGCTTTCTCGCCCACCTCCATCATCGGTCTCGACCACGAACTCGAGATTCCCAACTTCAAGTTCCATTGCGCCACCCGTCCCAGCCTCTTCGATTACCCGCCGGAGCAAGAGGTCAAGGCTGAGGAGGGCCCTACTATGGTCGCCACAGCCGTTCTGTCAACAACTGCTCAGGCCAAGCGCAGAGCTCAGAAGAAGGAGCGTGCCCAGCGTCGTGAGAGCATGGACATTGACTCTGCCAAGCCAACGGTGTCCGACAAGATGGACGTGGACGAAAAGAAGGAAGAGACCAAGGAAAAGAAGGATGGCGACGGTGGAGAGAAAGAGGCATCTGTTGCTCCTGCGGACACCAAGAAGAAGGCAGAGAAGGAGAAGGTCGGTTACGATATGGAGAACCTGTCGCGCGTGCTTCCGGGCCAGCTCAAGTTCATCAGCTTCCCCGCCGGACGATACAAGCCGGTCAAGAAGGTAGAGTAGTTCTAACCCCTCGACTGCAGAGTGTTTTACTAACTCTCATTAGCCTACCGGAGGACCTCTGCTTCTACAGGACACGCAGCCTGACGAGGAGAAGACGCTCATCGAAGAGAAGTTGAAGAAGGTGACAACAGAAAAGGCCCCAGTGGCCGGCCAAAGCAACGCAGGCGGATCATCTGCGGGCTTGACGCCGCGCCAACAGCAGAACATAATCTCGCAGGCCCTCAGAGCAGGTGCTGGTGGCGATCTTCGCTCGCTGAATGAGCTTAGCGAGCTCCTGGGTCGGCAAAGAAGAGGTGACCTCGTAGGCGCGACTGATGAAGGAGGTGCGGCTGCAGCAGCAGGAGTGCTCACGGCAGTGGACGAGGACGGCGAGGGAGATGAAGAGGCGGACGTCCCACGAGAGTTTGAATACTTCACGGACAATGAGGAGGAAGATGACGAGGAGTAGCCATTCTCGCAAGCGAACCACCAGTATTTGTGACTCTGGGTTTGAGACCATAACGGTGTTTAGAGAATAGAATGGGGGCGGCGTAGAGCTAGTCGACTGCCATTCTGCCAAGGACAGTCGGCGGCAAAGAGACTTTGCCAGGCTGTACAATAGTGTAACAATCGAGTCATTCGTAAAGGTTGCTTCTTAAATGCGCGTAGACCCGTGAACGCTCTATTATGCGACAGAGTAAAGGATCGCAGGCAATATTGGAACGTCTTGACGTATAGAATATGAGGATCAAAAAATGATTGTAGCCAGTCTCCTATGGTGACAGTAAGCTGTCGGGGTGTAGCTATGTCTTCGCACATGGCGCTTCGGGTTTCCTAAAGCAACACCTGCAAGCTATTTTGTCTGTACACCTGGCAGTAGATGCAGCCAGCAGCAACGCAGACGACTCGCGGAAACCTTGTGGGGAACCCCACGTTTCCCCTCTTACATCGTCAAGCTGGGAGTAATTAAGGTAGTTGGTTACCCTAGGTACTTGACAGTGACACACTCCTTTGCTTGGTACGTTTTCCTTCCGGTTTACGCAGGAAGAAAGCTCGCTTCTTCTGCTCTTAAGGTACAGCCAAGCCGATAGCTGTCTGCAAACTTCTGGTGGCCACGCAGGGAGACGTGTTTCAGGCTCGCTTGCGCTTCCCCGTATCATGAGGTCAGGAGATCAGGAGATCAGGAGCGGTATACGGAACGCTTCCTCACGATCTCTTCTACTGGCATGTACACTTCCCGCGGCCCCTTGTTCGGGGTTCGAGCTTCGTGGACCATACTGAAGCTCCTCACTCCCGCAACACCGTGGGGAGAGCAATGCGGGGTGTCCGGTCTTCCTCCGAACTCCTCTTACCTTAGCTAAGAGAGACCAATACCTAGACCCTCCCACCTCAAGGCACTCTTCCGCGTGTTCTAGCCTCCAACGCAAGTGGTTCCCGTCCGTAGCTGAAGCCGGCGGGAGAAGAGAGATCTCGCCGTGACTGAATAAGTCTCAACACACCTTCTGCTTCCCCCACGATTCCTTCTCAACACTTCGTCTCTTTGGGAACACATCCTTTCGGGCCAGCTGACTGCCTCGCGTTAAAGCAAGTCGACATCCTACATTATCTTCCAGCTTTGATAGCTTCCTCCGATTTGCTGCCTTTGCATTACCGCCGTACATTGCCTTGCATTGATATTGCCCACACGCAGCTATTACGACCCGTCATGGCACAATCTAACTCCCTGTTAGACACGCTGAGGTCCGTGAGCCGAGTCGACTGTGACACTCTTGACGTTGAAGGCGAGAACCTTCCATCATGACAACCCCAATGTGCTCGGTTCTGACCTTGCTTTAGTTGCCAAAGAGCTGGGTCCCTTTGTCGATCACACCTCCAACCAGGCAATCGCCTATGGCGAGCTCACCAAGACAACCGCAGATGGCAAGCTATACCACGAGCAACTCATCCGGGACTCCGTACAGGATGCCCAGGACTGGGCTCACGCGGCCTGGCCAGACATTGACCCGATTCTTCTCGCAGTCGAGATCATGGTACCTTGGTTCGGCGAAGCTCTTGATAACGGCATCCACCATCGCTGACATATTTGTAGATGGTCAGACTATCACTCAAGTTCATCCCGTATTTGACAGGATACTTCCACATTCAGACCAACACAGACTGGTCCTATTCGGTCGAGAAAACTGTCAAGAATGCCGAAAGTATGTTGCCATATAGGCCTGCAACGATCAGAGCTAACCGCGCTGCCCTGCTTCCTAGGAATTGTTGAGACCTTCAAGAAGGTGGAGCCCACATTCGACGTGAACCGTGTCTGTATCAAGATTCCGTCCACCTACGAGGGCATTGCTGCTTGCAGGATCCTCGAGAATAAGGGAATTGCAACATTGGCGACGACCATGTTTTGCATGGAGCAAGCGGCCCTGGCTGCCCATGCCGGCTGCACCTACATTGCGCCGTATGTGAACGAACTAAAGGTTCACTTCGTCCCAGGGTAAGAACCATCTCAAATACGGCCTTAGGCACGGCGACCTGAGCAGGATCGAATGACTGACCCTTGGGCGCCCTTAGTTATGTGGACGAGAACAAGGCTTTCAACTTCTGCAGACAGGCGCAGGCTTACTATGTCGAGACAAAGGCCAAGACCCAGGTCCTGGCAGCTAGTCTGACCACCGTTCCTGAGGTGATGCAGTTGGCCGGCATTCAGCACGTCACCGTCTCGCCGCCGCTCCTCCGGGCTCTTGCGGCAGCGCCGTCCTCAACTTGGACGGAGAAGGTCGGTGGCTATTTCGCAGACGGGCCAGACGAGCGCTGGATCAAGGACTTCCAGGCTGCCTTGATAGACGAGAGCGAGTGGCGGTTTGCTTTTACTCGTAGCGGCAACGGCAGGTATGAGGAGAAGCTTATCCAGGCCATCAATATCTTCTCCGAGAAGCAACAGAGCCTAGAGGAGCTGGCGCGAAGCTATTTATAGATGAAGGCCTGCTACAATATAGAGTCACTGCTTGCAGATTCAAAGCGTAGACACAACGATCGTTAATCAAAAGACCTGGGTAATTTGATGCTACGTAGACATACCGTCTATCATTAGTATGAACCCAACAAAACCTCCGTTCCCTTTTCTTCCTCGGTCTTCCTCTCAGACCAGGATACCAAACACCACCCTGTCTACGCCATCACCAATGCCCTTCTCTTCCTGGCGATTGCTGCATGAATGCAGCAAAGTCAGTACCGGCGAAAGGGGACACTGGTGTTTCCCTCATGTCGGCATTAGTTTGTCTGGAGTCGTCAAACACCGGACGCCGGGCACGAAGCGCTTCCCTACCAACCCAGCTAAGATAGACAGTCTCGTGGACCTGTATGAGATCGGGCCCAATTTCCGTCGAGCCCCGGCCGCTTCTATCTGCCTGCTCGAATTCCGGCTTCTTCTCCACCACAAATACTCTATGGTCCTTCCTCTCGATATAACGAGCGACAAGAACAAAGCCGATGAACCAAGCAACACCTAGACCGATGATGATCCATGAGACCGTGGGAATCACCCACCAGGGATTCAGCTGCGTAGATAGGTACTTCGAAGGAGGAACCCAGTTGGTGATCACCGGGTAAAGCCCACCGCACATGTATACGAATGCGCAAAAGACGGACAGAAAGGGACGGAAACGCTTTCCAGTCATCTCGGCCCAAGTACACGGCAACGGCGGCGGGTCTTTCCCAAATGTCGAAGCGTCGTCGTCGCTAAGGGTAGTCGGAGGTCCGCGGAACCGCAAGATGAGAATGCCCAGCCCCAAGAATGTCCCGATGAAGGCATTAATGACATAGGCGCTCAGGGATGTAAGCAGGGTGTAGGCATCTTTCGGTCTCATATTGTAGGTCGCGAATATCAGTATAGTACAGCTGACGAAATGGAGAAGCAAGGCTCCGACGGGGGTTTTCTCGCTGTGATGCTCTGGCGAAAGCCACTTCAGTCGAAGAACCGATGAGAACCATCCCTTCCTCTGGAACCAGCGCAGTACACGACCGATACTCATATCCGTGTTTTGTGCAAAGAACTTGGGCCACGGAAGCATTCCCTGGTCGTTGTGAGTTTTGGTCTCGTACATCTAACATCGAGGCTTTACTCACTTCTTTCGCAATCTCCTGTTTAACTCTGGCGGCTGTGTATGTCTGTTGAAACGTCATATTAGCGGACGTACACGGCGTGGATGCTCAGGGAGACAATTAACTGACCATGACGATGATGTTACCCAAGGACGAGATGGCAAGAAAGGCGTTGAAGATCCGGGCCCCGGTATCGCTAGCTGAGCCAAGTGTCCCAAATGTTAGTTCGAAGAACTTTTGTGCAACATTTTCGTTGATTTGGTCCTCTTTTGGGACAACGACCATCTATCTCGAAGTCAGCAAAACCTTCTTCCCCGCTTCCGATCCCGACTGTAGGATGGAGCCAAGAGCCGAGCAAAGGAACCCACATAGCAAATATTCACTGCAAGGTAAAGCGTCACAACGGTGCCAACACCGGCACCCATGGCGATAGGAAACTTCTTCTTCGGCCTACTAATCTCCCCAAGGACATAGTTGGGCTGCTCGAAGCCGGAGAAGCTGAATATGATGGCGAGAAACGCTTGAGCGTAGCTGTTGGCGTCGTTTGACGCGTTTTTGAAAGAATTCTTGGGTGAAGTGTTTTCACCAAAGACGTTCTTGGCACCTGGGAATCCTCCTGCACCAACGACAATCGTCGCTACAATGATGAGAAGCATGATCATGATTTTGACGACTGCGAGGATATTGTTGAGCAAGATTCCCCCGCGTCTAGAGAAAGCATGAATTCCACAAGAGAATGTAGCTACGGCAAGGGCGATACCGCGAACAAGGCCGTTTCCTGGCTCCGATATGCCGGCGGCTTCGAGAAGTCGCATGGCAAAGTGAATGCTGTTGCCCGCCATGTTACCCAAAATGATAAAGCTGATGCCAAATATACAAGTCGACAAGAGCAAAGTGTTCTTCCGGTAGGCTGGCTTGCGGAAAACGTATTGTAAGTAGACGAGGTCACCACCGCTTCGCGGGACGCTGTGATCGTGCCCATTGATCAGATATCTGGGCACGTTCAAGCCATACTCAATGTACACATGAGTTCCACAAAGACAATAGATTATCCCGGCCAACCAGAAGAGTAGCGTTGCACCAACACTTCGTGTGCCTCGCATTACTCTTTGTGGGGACATGAAGATACCAGTTCCTAGATTAACCATCTAACTTAGCGCTCCATTGCTCTGGAAAGTAAGTTGAAGACGAGTTGTTGTTTACAATGATTACCTCCTCATGGTGTTTCTGGTAATGAAGACAAGAAACCGTGAAAACAATGAGGGAAAGGGGGGAGCACAGTGAGCAGAATTTCCCACATGTACAGAAACATCAACGCATGCGCCGCTTGAGAGGGCCAAGGGCCGGAGTGAATCAATCATATCGGTTTTGAGAAACCCTTACATCTATAGGTAAAGAATCAAACTACTCACCAATCATACGGTTGATGACTAGACAGGCTACGTCGAAGTATCCTAGTCGGAAGCCCTCCTTTGGAGCATGCGTGACGATGCCATTGCCGTCACTGATGGGGTCAATCACCTCGTCAATATCACTGTGGACTGAAGCCTCTTCAGCACCCCGTGGCTCTTGGTAGAAACCAATGGAGTTGGGAAAGTCGTTCATTGTCGAAACCGTGTTGATTTGAAAAGAATGCAAGTTTGGAGTCCAAGCCTTGCGGTCGCTCCGTAGCAGGAGATCAACGCAATGTTCGTATCGCTCGCTTTCACAAGATACATGACAGGTAGGCCCGCCATGGGTGTCTTCACATTATGTATGGCACACTTCTCTCGGCTCGACTTAGGTGCGTGTGTGTGACGAGCTGCTGGCATACATGTCGGGCGTAATCTAGAAACAGCACGTATCTGGGGCGCGCACCACAGAAAGACAAACAGGCAGACTTGGCCATGGGTTGATAGCGGCTCGCATGCATGCCGAGGCAGCCACATCCTAGGACGGGGGCTGGTCGAGTCACTCGTGCCACGACAGCCTCGTCCAGAAATATGCCTCGCAAGGCATACCTGAGGTCTTTCCTTGCGCGCATCTTGGCAACTTAGACACAAGAGGTCTCAACGACGTCTTACCTTATTACCAAGACTCTGGCGACTACACAGCTGCCAAGTTGTGCCCGATCTAGTGGGTGATTTAGTCTCAGTACTCGAGCGATGATAGGTCTAGCGAAGCGAGCACGAATGGGAAGAGTCCCGGGAAAACTCAAGGTGACACCCCCTTCTGAGTCTTACACCGAGGTTGGCACGTCGGGAAGTTATACTACCTACCTCGAAGCCGTCAATCTGTATAGCTCACTGCCACCGCCACATGCATTGCACGCATGGGCTGAGTGCTGATCATCGTTATTAGTCAAGGGTATATAAGCGTATTCACTTAAAGCCTCGCCCGGTATTCTCTTAAGCATACCCAAACACTAGTCCTAACTGATACTCGCTCAACAAGTTCAGATTGCTTCCATTTACATCTGGGCATGACGGCAAGTATAGTGCAATAAGACATTTCAATATCCAAGCTTGGCAGTGAAGCCTCCAGCAACTCACGATCAAGAGTGTCCGGAACTGACTAAATGGTTCATCACCAAGGGGGGAGCAGACGACTGTGAAGACCCCCAAGTTTGCGGGGTTGATGACTTTATCAAGGATAGGCTTCTGTCCGATTAGTTCATCTTAAATACTTCGAGATGTGAGTGGCACGACCGCACAGTTCAATAGCTTATCTCGCAATCTTCCACTTCCGCCGCAGACATGCATACCACCCAGCAGCTGGAGGGTCCAGCCCCGATTGACGGGATTGGATATCATCGTAGGGGTGTCTCGGGTAACTGAGACCGCGTGACAGCCTTTTCTTTCCCTCCCTTTCTGAATAAGACCCCCCGGTTTCCATGCGCGGAGGAAATCCGCGCATGAGAACAGGGTGGGCTTGCTCTTAATGGATGCGTAGGAGGTGAGACGTATATGGCTTCCACGCCATCCTGGAGTCTCTTTCACTCACTACGGAGTAAACTCGACTCGAGCTGCTATCGCTTGACTAGGTAGAGATGGCTGCTAGGAGACGACAGCCCAGGTTTGTGCTCGGCTGCTCGGTACTGCCACGGTCGACGCGCGCAGTCACACTTCGAGGACGAGAGACAGCCGACTTGTAGGCCAAGCAAGACTATTTGAGAGAGCCACACGAGTAGGTCAGAGGAGGTCATTCTCCCCTGCTGCCTGCATGGATGCCCGCTCCATCCTTTCTTTCTCTCGGTGTCGATTTAGGTAGAGCTGTCTGGGCTGCCGAACACAGACTCGGGTTGGTCCGAGGCAGCAAACACAGATATGCCCATGTCGTCGCTACTAGCCTCACTATCTTCTTCCACGCCCGCCTCCCGTGCCTCTTTCGCTGTCCGGCTGGAGGGTTGTCGCTGCTTCCACTTGTGCTTATTCCATATGCTCGTTCCTTGTCCTACTGCCCACCCCTGCGTTCCTTGGGGCGGCTCGCTCTCATCTCTGTGACATGCCTGCAGCTCGGTGGCGTCTAAGGTTACTCTGTCGTGTGCTCCCACCCTGCGGTTGGGCTTTACTTCAAATCTGCCTTCGTTCCCCTCATCTGCTTCGCATCTCAGCCCTCTTGGTGAAGCCCGGTTTGGGGAATTTCCATTAGTCGTCTTCCTCGCACGTATTGACACCATCGCCCTTTCAATGCCAATCATCTTATAAGGCGCATTTCACAAAAGAACTACCTGCCCCTTGCCTCGTTACCCAATGGCAGGGCCAATCCAGTTGGGAGATGTCATCAACTTCAGCAAGCTCGCGTGGGACGTGTACAAGTTCGGTTGGGATAATGACTTCAACGCCAGTGAGTTCCTCGGCGCAATGAATATAACTCTCTAGGGCTGCCACTCTC